GGGATGCCAGCCCTTAACCCTTCCGATACGTGCGCCCGGCAGCCGGCAGGGCCGAGGGCCCCAAAGGGAGGAGAAGGGAAGGAAGGATCAGGAGAAACATTTAGCCAAATTATAATTTTCAATCAGCTGATTGCTCTAATTGCACGCCGAGTCGAGACTAGCGCCGCCGCGCCCGGCCGGCCCGGAGAGGCGCTGCGCTGGCTGGCACCGTCAAGGGGTTGGAGATAGATGGATGATATGGGGGCGGCCGGGTTAGGGGAGACGACCCGGGCCGAGCGGCACCGAGACACTGAGACCGGGGCGGGGTCGCGGGGGTCGCCTTCCAGACCACCTACCAGGCCGCCTACCATAGACGCCTACTAGGACGCCTACCAGGCTGCCTAGCAGGACGCCTAGCAGGACGCCTTACCCGTCCGCCTCCACACGGTAAAAAATTTTTCAATGTTATTTCGTGAATTTCAAGGACAGGTGGATAATTGACATATCTGGATAACTGGATTCGTACCTTTAAATTTAAGCAATCAAAGTCTTTTGCACACATTTCTGCGTTGATTTGGACACTTTTCTGCATTTATTTGTAGGGCATCGACATCATGCACTTTGGCGTGCGAATTTGTGCTAAACGAAACGTAGGTTTAACATAAAGCGAACGTCGCGAACGTTTACACATAAAACATACTAGTACATTCAGCGTAAGGGGAAGCCTTGGAATCCAGAAGAAAATTCCAAGGCCTTCCATTGGAAGCAGAGGGTTTCAAGGCAGATTCTGGGATTTCAACGGTCGGTTTTGAAATTATCTACCCGACCTTGAAATTCACAGAAATAACCTTGAAATCCAAGAAACACCTTTTACCGTGAGGCACCTTCAATACCGTCGCCATTCTAACACACGCCCGTTGTTATCCGCAGACGGAGCACATGTTGTATACCGGCGATGAGATTCTAATGAGGTAGTGATCCAGAACGGAGGTTCAAGGGGACGGGGTCGGTTCGAGGAGCAGGACGGCGGGGACCATGAGCGAGTCTCAGAGGTCGCAGAGCTCAGAGCAGAGGGCGCAGTGTGGCGCATAGCGCCTCGCGTGGGACGCACGGGATCGCGAACTTCGCGGAGTCACGGGTCTGGAAGGGCCCCGGCAAACGCGTAATGAATATACACCCAGTCGGGACCGGGCCAGCTCTGGAGCGCCACTGCTGCAGCAACACTGCTGGAGACACACGGCTGGAGAGACACTGCTGGAGACACACGGCTAGAGAGACACTGTTGGAGAGACAATGCTGGAGAGACACTGTTGGAGAGACACTGTCGGAGAGACACTGTTGGAGAGACAATGCTGGAGAGACACGGCTGGAGAGACACTGTCGGAGAGACACTGTTGGAGAGACACTGCTGGAGAGGCACTGTTGGAGCGGCGCTGCTGGAGGGACGGCCGGAGCGACATAGAGCCTTCCTGGACGTTGCACTAATCAGTGGAATTGCCGGCAGCAGGGATTTAATGGCCTGGCCTTCCTGGAGCCTCCAGACGCGCGGCCGGTCCGGTTCCAGGCTCCGGTGGGTCTGCTGGCAGCCTCCCCTGCCCTGCAACCTCCCACCCCATCCCGCCCCCCTGCTGGAGCGATATCGGGCCGCGTCCGAAAC